GAATTGAGGCCATTAACATTGATGGTTATAATTGATAGATATTGACTCATCCTTGTCATGATGTTTTACTGTTGTAGATTCTTTTATTTCTTATTTTTTCCCCCTTTCCCTTTAGTTTCTTATCTTGCCTGGTGGCTTCCCTCTGTTGGGTCTTGTGGCGTTGTGACCTTCATTGTCTTTTTCTAGGATATTGCTTTGAATTGTTTGGTTTGCTGGTTTCGTGTTCATGAAATTTCTCAGGTGTTCTTTGTCATGGAAGTATCTAAATTCCCCATCAATTTTGAAAGATAATTTTGCAGGATACAACAGTCCAAGTTGGAAGTTATTTTCTTTTAGGGCTTGAAATACTTCACTCCAGGCTCTCCTTTTCTTGAGGGTTTGTGTTGAGAAGTCTGCTGTGATTCTGATGGGGTTTCCTTTGTAGGTGATTTGTTTCTTTTCTCTAACTGCTTATAGGATTTTATTCTTCTGTTGAGTTTCTGGGATCTTGACTATTACATGTCCAGGTGTAGATTTTTTCCAGATAGTTTTTGATACTGACTTCAAATATAATTTCATTTTTGTCATAGAAATATTTTGTATGTTTTGAGTTATATTTATTAAGACTTCTTTTCTGTCCCTCTTCCTTTCTACTTTCTCCACTCCTGTATTCCTCTTTTCATTTTTCTTTTTTGTACTGGAGATCAAACTCAGGACCTTGTACTTACGAGGCAGGTGATGATACCACTGAGCTAAATCCCCAGCCCCCTTTTTTTGGATATTAAGCTTATAAATGATTACCTTTGTCTACTTGTTTTATGTGCATGCCACATGTTAGTCTTAATATATTCACAATGGGCTGTAATTTGTATGTCTCGCTGCTTGGTGGCTCTGATGTGAATTCCATCCTCTGATGTTAAATACCTAACCATTGGTGAATCATGCCACATGATGAAACAGTCATGCATGTATTATTGTGATTCAAGCTGGCAGGAACATGTTTACCTGCAGTCTTACTAGGAAACTACAGGTTTCAATTTCTGTTTTAGTCACTGATATTATAAATGTCACTCAATAAGTCACTAATTCTTTCCCCTTTTTTGGTACCACGGATCAAACTTGGGACCTTGTGCTTGCAAGGCAGGCGTGGAACCACTGAGCTAAATCCCCCACCCCATTTAATTCTTGTATTATCTGTTCCAGGCCTAAAATCTGGCCAAGGGATCTAGCTTAGTGGTAGGGGACTTGCGTAGTATGCACAAGGCCCTGTGTTCCATCTCTAACACCACAATATATATACCTGTCCATCCATCTCTGTATGGAAGAAGAGTGCATTAATAGTTGTTACAAAGTGTGATATATTAAAATACAAAATAGGGCCGGGGATTTAGCTCATTGGCACCACACCTGCCTGTCAAACACAAGGTCCTGAGTTCAATCCCCAGTAACCCCCCAATACAAAATAAGTCAGCATTACTTTTCCCTTCCAGATTATATTACTTTCTTCATTTTTAAGCAAAGCCATTGGTGACATGTATGTATTGTCCTTCTTAATTGGTTTACAGGCTTTTTATGGAAATTCTCAATGACTGTTCTGATGTGGATGAGATCAAATTCCAAGAAGATGGTTCTTGGTGTCCGATGAGACCGAAGAAAGAAGCTATGAAAGTATCCAGCCAACCATGTACAAAAATAGAAAGTATGTGCAAAATGGCAACAGAGAACAAACAAAGCACTGAGACTTGTGGAATATTATCTTTATTATTATTTTTATTTATTTATTTATTTATTTATATTTGGTACCGGGGATCGAACTTGGGTCCATGTGCTTGTGAGGCAGGCGGCGGAACCACTGAGCTAAATTCCTGGCCCTATTATCTTTATTATTAATCTTGGCCACTAGAACTATTTTTGGAATTCAGTTTTCTAACATTATCTTTTGAGCATCTATAATTTTTTTCCTTAAGAAATATGCTCATTTATACCATTATATCAGCCTTTTCTGTGTTTTTCATGTACAGAGTAAATAAAACATCCACCTAAAATAATTGATGATGTTTGTTATAAAGTGAAGTCCGAAATGATATTTATATGGGCAGCTTTTCAGAATTGTTTTAAGTGTATCTGTAGGCACAACCTCTTGTGGAGGTGTATTAGATGAGGAGTCAGGTAAACATACATTGGCTAGTTGTTAAGGAGGTTCAGTAAGGAGATTGTTTCTTTCATGTGTGTATGTTGTGTGTAGGAATTTTATCATACTCTTGTTTACCTAGAATGTATTCTTATTCTCTAATTGTTTGAGGAATGGGGGCACTAAAGTCCCATAGGTAAACTTAGGTAAATTGAAATCCATAGGTAAACTCAGTCTTTTTCTCTAACCCAGTCTACTCATTGGTGTTGAGTTTCATTTTGACTATATTTGAAAGTTCTCACAGTGTAGTGAATATATGCCAGTTTATCCTTCCATGATTTGTATTGAAACCAAGATAGCAGTAACTAAGTTTTCTCTCACCTTTGAGAAAATGGAAAGTAATTTAATTGACTGGTTATTGCTCCTTTTCTTTTATCAACTAGTGTTCATTTTTAACTAAATAGATTACAAAGAATAATACATATTTTTCATGAAAACTTGAGTTAACGTATATGAGATTGTCTTAATGGACAAAAAGGACTTGAGTGATTAGAAGATAATTCATGAGAATAAACTCTAAATGAATAACAAGTGGCAAGTGTAGGATTTTTTTTTTTTTCAAGGTGAAAATTTTTTATCAAATTCTGGGTTATGATGAGGAGCCTGTTCTTTGGTATGAGCAGGTTTGGTAGAATAGAATTATTTTATTCTGATTTAACTGAATCACAAGTCTGGGAAAATATGCAATTGATGAAATCACATAGATTTTTCCCAATGGTGTGAGCCCAGTTCCCTAACTCCAGAGGTTTGTCTGTAGAATAGCTGTTAACCTAGCAAGACAGCTTGAGCCACAGAAGGATCTGTACAAATCCAGCAACAGTATTTATAAGAAGAGTATACTATCTGAAGGATAGAAATAAGAAAATAAGCTCATGCGTGGTGTCTTCCTAAGAAAGCAGTCATTTTATAGACATCTGGAATTAGGGAGGTGATTTGTGTCCATAGGACAGAGTGTGTGGCTTGTATGGCTGTGTATTGCCATAAATATGCTGCATAATTAAGACTGTCATGGCTAGAGTTTATTTGATGTTTCTGTTTTCCTTTTGTTTCTTTACATTTAGGTTCAGGTGTCCTCAGTAAGCCTTGTTCAGTTACTGTAGCCGGTGAGGTAAGCAAGAAGAAAGTGGATGTTATCGACCTAACAATAGAAAGCTCTTCTGATGAAGAGGAAGACCCCCCTGCCAAAAGGAAATGCATCTTTATGTCAGAAACACAAAGCAGCCCAACCAAAGGGTTTGTTAATTTATAGTTCACTATTGCTCATTACACTTACAACTAATTGTTCTTGGGCTAGGTTTTTTAATGTCTCTTCGAGAAACTGCATGGGAGACAATTTTAATTTGCTTTCATTCAGTTGAAATATTTTCATAGAAGCACATTATAGGAAAGCAGAATTGATGAAAACAATATCTACATCTCTGGGAAGTGAGAGTCTGAGGTTTTTATTTCATATCTGATAACCTTTTGTTAATTTCTTGAACCCATGTGAAGAAGTTTAGCATCTCAGGCCAATATGAGGAAGCCTGGTGTAATAAAATACGGAATTCGGAATCTTCTAAGAGCAGATTACAATTCTGGCACTTGTTTACTTGCTCTTATTTTGGTCAAAATCGTTAACTTGCTTGAGCTGCCTTTTTATCTTCTGTAAAGTAAGGTAAAATATGCCTACTTTGTAGGATTACTGTCAGGTTTCAATAAGCTAATGAAAAAACCTACCCTGTCAGTCACCTGGTAGTTACTCAGTGAAAATTGATCCCCTTCCCTTTTCACCCTCTCCAGTGCAAATTATGGGCAAGTAGGTGCATTCTACACATAGCCTGACTGACTCATCTCACAGAGTCCCATTCCGACCTATAGGAAAAGACAGATCCAAATATTTAAAAACAGGTGCTTTTCACAGAGATTTGGGAACACACATAGTGGAGTGTTTCTTAGCAACCCATGAACACCTTCAGACTTGGATTTGCTAGTCCTGTCTCTGGTTTCTCAGGCCACTTATTCTCCTCTAATAGCTCTTTTATGTAGAGTTGTACGATTACCATTACACAGGTCATTTGTAGAATATTTCTGTCACCTCCCTAAAAAATCATGTTCATTTGAGGTTTGTTCCCATGCACTTCCCAGAAACAGGCAGCCATTGATCTTCTTTTCATTTCTAAATTTGCTTGTTCTAGACATTTTGTATGAAAAGAATTATGTTTCCAGTATACATCTGCAGCATACTTTTTTGCAGTTTTTAATAGTTACTTTTGAGATAACTTTCTGTAGTTACTTTTGATAACTAAACCATTTGAGCTGCTTTCTTCATTATTAAAATGTATTTTCAGATCTGATTTATACATCCAGATAAGGGCAAATGTTTTCTTTCGCTTTTTAAAATTACAGTGAGATTTTAAGTGGAATAGAAAATGAGGAAAGTAATTAAAGTGGATTTTTTTCTGGCGTGCTGATTGTTTTTTCTTCCTTTGAGACAGTTTGGTTGGCACTTCTATAATTTAAGTGATAAAAAATGAAAATATAGTTTTTAAATGTTTACGGGCATAGAGTCAGGAGAATGAATGCTTCCATATAGTATTTCTAAATTTTATTTTTTAATATCCTTTAGACTATTCTTGAAAAATGAGTTGCAAATACTATAGTTAGTAGGAGTCCTGGTTGAAAGATTGTGTGTATTAATGCTGACCCATGAATTGATGCCACAAGGGTCTAATCTATGTGTCTGTACATTTGTGTCAGTACTTCATGAGGACAGAAAACTGTACGAATGGAATATACATCAGATAACAAAATCTAAAATGACCATAGTGTTCTGGGCATGGTGGTACTCGCCTGTAATCTCAGCAGTCTGGAAGCTGAGGCAGGAGGATTGCTGGGAGTTCAAGGCCAGCCTGAGCTACATAGTGAGTTCAGGGTCAGCCTGAACTACATAGTGAGATACTATCTCAGAAAGCCAAAAATAAATAAAATAACCATAGTATGCAGAAGAGTAAGGATAGTTTACACCTGTGCTTAGCTACCATAGAGATAGATGTTAAGAGCCCTCATCTAATTTGAAAAGAAAACAAAAATTAACATAGATCAATCTAGGTGGCAAATATGATTAAATTAACACATGAAAGTTTTGATTTTAAAAGTCTGTATAAATCTCATCTACCCAGCTTTTTCCATGAAGTCAATATAGCCCTTTGTACCAAACTAGATTTACACATTACTTCTGTAGACAAATAGTCACATGGAAAGATAAATGAAAATTCTTACTCAGTTTTTAGAAGTCATGTAATTATATATTAAAATGATATCCACTATGACCAAATATAGTTTATCCTGAGGGTGCTTTAATATTAGGAAGTAGTTGATGAAATGAGTTCTAAGAACAGCTATACAGCACAGTCAACTTATTAGATGCTTGAAAGATATTGAATAAATACTATTCCTGATAGAAATGCTTATAAACTGTCAGAATTCACTTACTGGCTTGAGGGGTTCACTGCTTAAACTGATTTGTTCTTGACAACATTAATAAAAGAAGCATAGTGTTCAATTCTATTTCATTTTGGGTTTGGCTTTATTTAAGAGCATTTTAGTCTATACTGAAACTTGAAGTATGTTAGATGTGAATGCAGTCAGAGTAATTGTATAGGAAGGTGAGCTGTGGAACCTGGTGCACATGATTGATAAATAGGTCTCGGAACTGAAACTTAGACTAGGAGTCAAGAATGTATCACAGCTACTTTGTAGTTCTTAGAAGGAACCCACTGACTAGCTAGAGCTTTCTTCTTGTTACTATCTTTCACACATTTAGGTCATAGGAAGAAGGATACCCAGGAGTATTTTGTGTTGGAGCTTCTTGAACACTAATAGTTTATGTTTTGTGCTAAAATTACATTTTCTCTTCTAAGGTAGGTGGATGCCACCTGTTATGGTGTCATAGTATTGACTTATGCTATGGTTGTATCATGTCTGATCCTTTCTTATTCCAGTCCTTTTGTTCTGGGTCATTCTTTTCATATCTTCACTTTGTGTTTCACCATCCAGAATTTTTGTGGTTTTCCTCTGTTAAGTAAGTTTATCATAGGACTTCTTGGCCAGGGATAGTAAGCAAATGAGAAAGAATAGAGAATGAGAGCTAAGGAGAACTTAATTTGTAGTCTAGAACATAATATGAGCAGCTATTTTTAAAGAGTGTATTGTCTTAGTAAAAATTATTCTTATAAACAGTTTTACAGAGCACTAAGAAGAAAGTGAAAGCCTCTCACCCAGAGAGAACTGCTTGCTGTTAGCATTTTGATGACAGTCCTAGTCCCTTTTGTTCCAGACCCAGTGGAGTGTAAAATGCAGTCTTGTAATTCCAGTCAGATGAAACTAGTACTATCTAAAGCATTTATAAAAAGTCTGATTTTTTTTCTATATTAGAAGATAATTTTATATTTTATGCTCCTGCTCCATTCCTTAAAGGACAGTTGCTTTGTTAGAGGTTTCTAAAGACAAAAAACAAAAGACTGTGGGTAAATATGCATGCTTCTGGATCAAGAATCATTAAGGAACTAGGGATGTAGCTCAGTGGTATAGCATTTATATAGCATGTACAAGGACTTGGGCTTAATCCTCAGTGCCACCAAAAAAACATTGTGAAGAATTGATACTAAATTTTAATCTTTTGTGCTTTTATGACCATAAAGTGGGAGCACATAACTATACTTCAGTTATGCGAATAAAAATCATCAACCTATAGTCTAGGCCAAGTATGAATTCCATGAAATTCTGATTATGATAAACAGTTTAAAATAACAATATTTGCTAACAGCATTCTACCAGTTTACTTTGTGCTATGATAAAGTTATAGAAATTTAAAATATATATACTTGCATAATGTATACCTGTTCTTTTTGTGTAATTGGCCAATCCTATGAAGAGTCAGAAAAAAATTTTAAAAGCTGTCTGAAAATTTTTATTTATGGCATTACAGTACATCAGTAATTCCACAAGACATAGCCATTTATATTTCTTCATGGAACCTGTTATTTATAATTGATAAATATGTCATTTTTCCTTGAGCTTTAACATCATTTTGTTTCTCAATATGGTCCTTATGAAGATTCTGATAAAAACAAAAATCTGCTACCTGTACGTAATTTGATAATCCTAACAACTGTTTTTAGCCTTTATATATAAATTTGAATTTGTTTTGTTTTTTAAATTTTGGTATGGGGGATTGAACTCAGGACATTGGGTTTGCCAGGCAGGTTCAGTGACACTGAGCTAAATCCCCAACCCCTATAAATTTGAATTTGAATTAATGGTTAAATAATTTAGATAAAAAGAGTCAGTCGACTCTTAACATGATTTAACTTTTTCAAATGTTCGATGAGGTTTTTAGATGTTGATGTAATAATTTGTACCTCAGTTACATTCTGGCATTTTCACATGTTTTGATAGTCAACATTTTGATATGGGAGAAACAAAGAATAGATTTTTAATCATTTAAAGTTTCATGGTATATTAATAGGACATATATAGTAGTTAGATATTATTGTGATGACAGCGTGTAGGGACATGGACTTGACCTTTCTTTGGACTCCTTTGATGTAAATCAAAGTCAAAGGGCTGGGGAAAGAAAGGGAATTTGGTGATTGTTTCCTATAAATGTGATCTACGTTAAAAGGGTCAATTCAGGATGAAGACAAAAGAAAATCTCCAGTGAAATATCAAAAGGAAGAGAAGGAGTGTTAGGAAAATAGGTATTGTCTTTTTTCTTATAAATCTGAAATTCTTTTTCGGGAAGGGTGCAGATATATATGCGCTTTACTGCAAGCTACACTCCTAGCACCTTGGAATTCTTTTAGCTTCTTTCAGTGACAGAGAAGAGGTAATAGATTAAATATACTTTCAAGTAGAAATTAAAAAAAAAAATAAAACTTTATATATGATGCATGCCTGTAATCCTGACACTTGGGAGAGGGAAACAGGAAAATCACAAATTTGAGGGCATTTTAGGCTTCATAGCAACTTCAGGATCAGCCTGGACTACATTGTGAGATCCTGTTTCCAAAAAAAAAGGCTTGTTTCTTTACATTTTGTAAAAAAAACAAGATTAAAATGTTAGTATTCTGAGGCAGCCAGAACAGTCAAACCCATTTTTTTACTTCCTTTCCCAGCAGTAAGATATAGCTTAATCTCCTTACTCTCTTTGTTCTTCTCCTGCCTTTGTTTCTTTTTTTTTCCTGATACACATGCCTGGTGAGAGAGGAAAGGTTTGTTTGTCATTTGAAAACACTTTTACTGATTTCCTGTTCTTTCCCTTTTACTTCTATACATGTCAGGTATTTTCAGATCTTGAGAAAACAATGAGCTCTAGATAAAACATATTTCTCTTATTCTAAGTTTCTTGTTTCTTCTTCCAGACTCTGCCTTTCCCAATAATCTTCACACCCTGCTTATGGTTTTAGATCTTTAGGTACATTGGAGTTCAGAAAACCTACTGATTCTAACCTAGGCAGGTGGATCTTTGGAAGACACCTTCCCTCTGTCTCCATCTACCTTTGGAAAATGCAAAAGCCTCAGCCGTGTTTCATATGCTTTCAAATTTAATCAGTTTTAAATCTAAGAGTTTTGAATTCTGACCTATATTATTTTTTCACTCTTTGGAGAACAACATAGTTGGCCAACATAACCATAATGTACTTTCAAGATGACTTTGTTTTTCATATTTCTGGTACCTGTATTTTTGATAAATAGATAAATAGAGACTTTATTTTTGATAAAACACAGAATAATATCTTGTGTTTGAAATAATACAAACCAGTGTTAATATGCCAGTATCTAAAGGTTCTGATTTAAGTGGTTTATTAACTGCTTTGACATTTAAATCAAGGTTATGAAATCATTCATCAGTTAAAGTATGAAGAATGTCATGCAACTATGTCATTATTTTAACTACTGTTATTTAATAATCGAGCAATAACAGGAAGTGTTTCAACCATAGGAACAGATGTCTGGAGATCCTAAATTGTCATCTCAATTTAACTTTGTCATTGTAGTCTTAAGTGTTTAACAGAGTTGCACTTTCTTCATCTTTGCAACAGTTCCAGCTTTTCATTAAGCTAACAGTAGTTGATTGTCAGTGTTTTGGTATGCTATTCTTTGTTTTGGGGGGCTTTTTTGGTACCAGGGATTGAACTTGGGTCCTTGTGCTTGCGCAGCAGGCGGCAAAACCACTGAGCTAAATCCCCGGCCCTGGTATGCTATTCTTAATGCTTTGCTCCTTTTTTGCTTCTTTTTACTAGGTGGTAAGGTAACCATCATCAGCCATAGGGTCAGTAATGGTGGTTAGTTCATAAATATACATTCATGATGTTTTTCTTGTGAAGTTCTAATTGTTTACCCTGGGCTAAGAGAAAATACAGATTAAATAGAATGCAAAATTTGTCTTCAAGGCTGAACTTTTCCAAAAACATGTTTTAATTTTTATACTACTTCTTGAAACTATAAAGTTTTAAATTATGTAATACTATAGATTTTATATAATAGTAATTTATAAAGTATTTCTTATGTTTTAATTTATATTTTTAGTAACATGGACAGATAATTTCAAAATCATAAACCTTCTTAGAAGAATAGGTAGTATTATGGTAGGGAACATTTTTATTTCTGAGTATTGTATCTTCAATCCTGAATTTTGGTCATCTTATCCTGATTTCTGATTGCACCCTACTGCTATCAGATTTGCTGGCATCAGTGTTGACCAGCTATACTCAGACCATCCCCAAATAAGATTTGAAGAAATTCTGGTTGAGCTATTGTCATTTATAAGATATCCTGATTCAAATAGAATCTTAAGAATCTTCTATTTTAGTTTTACATTTCTTTATAGGTAGATTACTAATATCCACATACATGTTACATATACATTAGTAAAAGCATGTGTAACATTTGTATTTATGGATAAAAGTGTTATATATTACTCCAGCACTATATGTTATAATTTAATGCCAACTTGCTGTTATGTCACAGCTGCCATTGAGAACCACAACACATTCATGTTAAATGAAGACTGTTAGGAAAGAGAAGTAGCTACCATGTAGTTGTGCTGAGACTTAGTGAACAAACATCTAAAAATGTCCAGTGGTTTAGGTCTTCTCTCTGTAAAGTAAGCCAGATTATATGTAATTTCCCATGCTATTTAAAACAGGGTTCTCATGTATCAGCCATCTATAAGGGTGCCTAGTGTGACTTCGGTTGATCCTGCTGCTATTCCGCCTTCATTAACAGACTACTCAGTACCATTCCACCACACCCCAATATCAAGCATGTCATCAGATTTGCCAGGTATGTGGAAAGTTTTTGTTTTCTTTTATGATGTGGTTTTAGTATTAATGAACCAAATAAATTTTGAAGTTTTAAATAGAAATGCCAAAGAAATTTGAAGACTTCATGCAAAAGTATCTCTTTTAATATATCATACTTGGTTATTATTTTGATTAAATATAGGTTTCAGATTATAGGAAATAACGGAGAATAGTAAAATTTTATGGAATGTATTCTGCTTTATAGAGAATTAGTACTCAGACTTCCTTGGTTTATTTATCTTAGAGGTTTTATAGGTTAGGATGAATATTTTCTCACACTCTTCCCGGTATCACATTCTTTCTTTAACAGCCCATCAGGACTTTAAAGCATACAGATGTAGTTTGGGGCTGATTTTGCCTACCAGCTGTACCTTGTGAGTTTTCCCCCCTGAAAAAATAGGACCTACTGTAGGTTTCTGTAGAGCAGAGCTTAATATTTGGGGAAATCTTTTACATATGTAATAACTCAACATTTAAAGAATTCAAAATTGTTTGAATTATCTTACTATCAGAACTTAAACAGCCAGGCCCATATTACACAATTTAAACTTTCTCCCTTCACTCTGCCTTTCTCTGTAGCCATTGTTTTTACATACATTTGTACCAGTCAAATTTAATCAAGTTTGAATTAGTCTCTCTTATATTCATAACTTTTTCTTTGAAGGAAGTTGATTGGGGGCACTAACCAGGGATCGAACTCAGGACCTTGCACTTGCCTGAGCTACATCCCCAGCCTTGAAATTGAATTTGATCTATGACTTATTTTTCTTCTCCTTAGTTAAGTATTTTAAGTAAAATTCTTACTTCATTGGGTAAAACTTGTGTTATTGAAATAATTGATAGCTCTGTTATCTATCTCAGTATAATTTTGGCATGTGAAAGTTTTTCATTAACTTGAATAAAATTTAGTGCAAAAACATAGGTTAAAGTAGTACCAATCAAAAATTTTACTAAATATACTTTTTTTGGGGGGGGCCGGGCATGTAGCTCAGTGGCAGCACACCTGCCTGGCAAGTGCAAGGTCCTGAGTTCGATCTCCAGAACCAGAAAAAAATATATATACTTTTTGTTTCTTATGCTTTACTCCATACATGTTTTGGGAATTAGTGTTTTTAATGTTCCTCTGAAACCAGCTAGCACCCATTATAAAGTATTCGTTGTATGCAGGGGCTGATAATAATGCTAAGGTATAGGTGAGAGTTCATGGTCCATGACAAAAGATAGAAGCTTATATGATGTTAATTCCTAAATGTCACTTTAACCTTGGCTAACTTGAAGAGTATCCATGTATCATATTGGTATGAGTTATAAGTAAGCATTTGAAAATAATTTGTTTCTGTAAGACTTGGAATTAAAAATTAACCCTGAGAAAGGATATTGAACATTTGTGTTTGTTAAAGTGATCCTGGCCATTTAGCAGTAGCATAGATACAAATTTAAAAAGTCACTTGCCCTGCGAGCTTTCAAATTATGTGAGTCTGGATGGTTTGTTTTTTTTTTTTAACTTGAGAGAGCTTATATTACTTCAACATTGAGCTTTATAAAGTGAGATTTTTAAGTCTTTTAAAAAATGTACAGATTTGGGAAAAATGCAGTAAAATATGTCTGACCCATGTGTTTGGTAAAATGCATTTCAAGCTGGCATTGATACTGATATCCATGGCTAGTATAGTTCACTTGTCCTTTAGAAGAATTGCTAGTTAATTGACAAGTATGAATTATAGTATATAGCAGTTACTACATTTAAATAGTTTAGTTTTTACTTTGGTTTTATTATTAATGTACTATTTTATAATTAGCAGTTTCTTTGGTTTATTTTTATGTATAATTGTTCTGTAAGTAGTCATAATGTAGTTTTTGTTTTGTATTGATGAATTTAATAATTTTATAATAAAATATTAAATAGAGTACCAAGAATGGAGAGATGACGTTTTAATACATTTCTTAACATTCCTTTTAAACATCATAAATATGAATCTTCTGAATCTGCAGGAGAACAAAGAAGAAATGCTATTAATAATGAACTGCAGCTTGGAACATCTTCTGATACTGTGCAACAGTGAATACAAAATAAAACATATAATTTGTATTTATGGATTGGAATACAGCTTGATTATTTCAAGAAAAAATATGACTGCCTTATTATTACTAGTGCCATATTGTCAGGTGCGAATGGTGCTAAAAAGTTGTGTCGTTAAAATTTGAAAGTGCTAAACCATTACATATTTAATCATGTAGCAATCATGTTTTGTGAAAGTTACTACACTTGATCTTAGCCGAAAGGCCGAGAATCGATTGTTTTGTGAAAGTTTATGGATCAAGTAAGGAAAAACATAATGCAGTATTTAAAATTTTAAAAATACAATTTCATCAGTGTTAATAAAACAAAAACTTTTAGACTGTACCTTCAGAATTCTTAACACTAGTGGCTTTTTAGTTGAAAATAATTGGCTATTTTTTAATCATGAAATTCTTAATAGGGCAACAAATATATCAATATGATGTGACAGTTTAAACACAGTAAAATTAGGAAATAGCATTTTGCTAAACTTTTAAAATCAGTAAAATTTTAATCACTATTGCTGTCACTATTTCATGAGTTTTGATCTACTTAAAATATAAAATGTAAGATTTTGATGCTAGTTTAGTTTTTTTATTAGCAGGAATAACGTCTGAAATATATATCAGACTGCGCTGTTTGAGACAGAGTGGCTTCACTGAGAAATACCCACATTGAAAACTCATTGGACTTTGAATTGACCACCTGTGTAATGCTTGAATGACAATCTTAGTCTCAACCAAAATTATAGAAAAATGTATATTGTGTCATTATGTAAGTCACCATATTTCATTTATCCATGAATGTTATGAAAAAATATAGATCAAGTAAATCTCTTAAATCTTTTCTAGACTATTTTCTGGCATACACAAAACCATCAAAGAGAATTACAATATATCTGAAGAGCTGGATATTGAAATAATCAAAATAGGTAGAATCCTTATACCTCAGTGGGTATCCTTAAGTGATAGAGCTTCAAAAACAGTTTGAATATTATATCAAACCTGTGTGTTTAAATTGAAGTTAATGGAAATAGTTGAACATTTAGAAAATGAGTGTTTTCAAGTAATATGTACACAATATTCAATCAGAAATGTCAGTACTTTAGCTTTATAAAAAATTTTCATTAAAATGGTTTGAAAAATATTAAATGTGATGGAAATAAAAAACTATTTAAAAGAAGCTACTATAAAAATGAAGAAAATGTCACATTTGAAGCAAAGCAAAAGTTAGTAAAATTAAGCTAATTAACATATTCCAATAACTTTGTTACTTAGTAATAGAAATATTGGCTACCTAAAGTCTTCAGAAAGTATATGAGAACTAGACAGATTTTGAATTACTACAGATTATGAATTATCCTTAATGTGAAGCAAAGTGCACTGCTTATTTGAGATACATCACTTGCTCATTATCAGTTATTGGGGAAGCTCTTCAAAAAGTGCTTTGTGGTTCCCTTTGTCCATTGTTGGCTCCAAATGCTGTATCATATAGCGAGTGATAGATACATGAAATAAACATATATAACAATCATTTTTTAAAATGCTTTAGAAATTGTTTTCATATGATTGGTGCCAAAGTCTGTATCACTTGATAAGTATTTAAAATGTCCTTATTTAGAGATTATAAGGGAATAAATATACTTTAAATTTTGGGGGTTAAGATTATTCACAATGTTTATTAAATATTTAAAATATTTCCACTAATATTCTCTATTTTGAGTATAGCATCAGAATTTTATTCCGTATCATTGTTGCATTTGACGTGATGCCAAATTCCAGCATACAAAAATTCACAGAATTGAATAGACACTGGCCTGTCTTGATGACCAATACTTAGTATGTTATTGTTTTTAATCTTTTAAAAAAGTTGAAAAGAATTTAGTCACATAGAGGTGTGGAGGAACTGACTTTGAAGTTTATTGCTGTACTTTTCAGGTTTTTAACTATTGATTATTTTAATTTTAACACTTTTACATTTCTGTTTCTAAAAATAATTGGAGAATCCCAATTCTTTGGTTTAGAAAACTGCATTAGCTGAGAACCCAGTAACCTTCATTAACTTGCTAGTGAGTAGCAGTTACTAAATGCTTGCTTTTAGTGAAATAGATACTTGTTTACAAAGTGATATTTTAGATGAACTTCAGTGTGGCTTATTTCTGAAAAATAAATGTTAAGTGTCTTAAGAGACGAAGTATGTTTTTCTTTAATGGTCTGAAGATCATTATCTCATCATTTTTATTGCTTCTTGCTCTGTTAAGTGACAAAAAATCCTTACTTTGACTAGTCCTAGCTCTCTGGAAAGTTTTGGACTGCTGCCTTTGAGTTCTGGGAGGTAGTTTTTCCAGTTGTTTTCTCTGCCAATATGTTCATCTTTGAGTTTTATACAGATTAAATATCACTGATCATGGTTTAGAACTTCCCTATGGCATAGTGGTAAGCATCCAGATGTTTTGTGATTTATAAGTACAATATGATTTGGGGAAATAATTCTAGTCTCCAAAATATGAGGCAACTATTAACAAAACATTTTTGTTTTAGGTTTGGATTTTCTTTCCCTTATTCCAGTTGATCCCCAGGTATGTATCCTGAATTTAAGCAACTAATTTGTATTTGATTATTGGTTATGTCATACTAACTAAAAATGACCAGTTGCATAAAATCAGGACAGTCAACACTCAGTTACACTGATGAAAAAAAGTAGGAAATACATACAATATAAATTTTTCACAATTTTATTTGGAGGAAGAGTTAATGATTTTTCATTTATAATTTTTTCGTCTTTATTAATACTTAAATTTTAAATTATATTTTATTGAACAGTCAGTTACTATTTCTAACAGACATTTGAGTGATTAGAATGAGTAGAAGCCATGTGTGGTGGTTGTAGGGTAAGATTTTGTTGTATATGTAAAAATGTATTTTATACCTAGAAACATCCACAGCCAAAGCTCATTAAACAGATTTGACTCACTAGCTTATTTCTCCAGTGTTTGAAGAACAGTCAGATTCAGATATTGAGGGTGTCACAATTCATCTTGAAAACTGTGCAGTAAGCAAGATTCCATTGTCAGAATTAGAACAGAGACAGAACAGAGGAAGGAAACAGCAAAAGAAACTTTGAGAGCAGGTATGGCACGTGGGAGGGATAGGAAGAACATGAACTGCTGCCTTCAGGGGCTGCTTAGAATCAGCTAACTGCAAGTCTAGTATGGACCTCTTGTTTCCGTACTCTATCTGGTCATACAAACAGCATGGGAAATTTGGGCCCAAGATAGTATACGGACTGAAGAATTTCTTGTTATCTTGAGTTAACCTTGTTATATCTGCAAATTGTAAAACAAAGGTATCTGTTTTCCTAGGAAGTGGATTCTTAGGCTTAAAAGATTAACAGTTTTCTGAGAATAAGCCTTTTTAAAAAATCTTGGAACTTAAGGGTTTTATTTCATAGTTCTATTTGGCGTGGTTAATGGCAACCTGATCCCACCCCCAATCTCTGTCTCTCTTCTCCTCTCTTCTCTCTTCTCCTCTCTCCTCTCTTCTCTCTTCTCTCTCTCTCTCTCGTTTGCCATACTAGGGAGTTAACCCAGGGCCTCTTAACACTGAGCTAGATGCGCATCCCTTTTTAAAATTTTTTGAGACAGAATCTCACTAAGTTGCCCAGGCTGGCCACACTGTTGCCATTCTCCTGCCTCAGCCTTCTGAGTAACTAGGATTACAGGCATGTACCACCACACCTGGATGCTGATTCATTTTATGCCAGTAGGAGAATGAAGTACATTCTGTTTACCAGAGAATTTTTAGGTTTTCCTACTCAACCTCTAGATTGCCGCTTATTCCTGTTATTTTTGTGTAGCTATATACATATGGGACACAGGATTAAAAGTAAAATAGCTGCAACATGAGTAGAAGAATTCAAGGCATGGAGTCCATTGATAGCAAGACTGTGCTTATAGCCCTTACTTTATAAAAGAAGAGGAATATTTACCTTTTTTACTATGAGGCAGTCAAAAATAGCCTAAAAGATAGCAGGAATAAAATATGAGGTTTCTGGTCTTTTACCCAAATTTCCCCCTAATTCTAGTAAAATTGGTTTGTTGGAGGTTAGAAATTGATTTGATTTGAGGCAAGAATTTTTAATATCATTTAACTATCTTTAACATGTTCCCACCAGCTTGATCCACTGGTGTACATGATTGACTATTGTGAACACGTTGAAGCTTCTTAGAAGCTCTTTAAGAACTATCCATCACCCCTCCTTCTACCTTGAAACTCTTTGCATGTAGCATTCATTGTATTGATGAAATCGACAGTTATCCACCAAAACATTAACTTACTCTGTTGAAAGGCAGCCTGGATTTTAGTTGGTGCTCTTCCTCTTATTGGCAGCTTAAATCTGGGCCTGTTGTTTCCATTTTATTTATGGGCCTTGAAAGTTATGTTGTCTAAACAACTTCAGTTTTATATTACTTTTCATAATTTGTTCTTTCTGAGGATAAGCAGAATGATATATAAAAGGATAACACTAATTGGATGTATTTACTGGTCTTTCATACAGTCTCAAGACAAAGGTAGAACATTTCATGCAATGTATTAGGCATCACTTATTTTGCTAGTCATTGCAGTTTCTCACATAAAACATTCTGTGGTGATATGCAAAATGTGTTTAGCTCTTGTCTTCACTCCTCTTGGTAATTATTTGGATATTATACTCAGGTTTGTATTTGTATGGGAATCAACAACTAATATGGTAGTAACACTTGGAGAGGGATGTCAAGCAAATGTCCCAAGAAAGATTGGATCTCTTCAAATATTGTTATGTATATATGTGCAAAGAAGCCTGGTGCCATCATTCAGCTGGTCATTCTTAATATTCATAAAGGGTCTGTTTGATACTGAATTTTGAGAAATTGTTGAATTTTGAATTAGCACTTTTGCATACTACCATGAGAAACAAGTACTCATTATCCTTTCATAGTGTGATTTAAAACCTGTCAAATACACTTACTGAGCAAATTATTTTTGAGATTAAGTATGAGTCATAATTTGGGGCCAGTATTTCATATTAAATGACTTCAGTTTTTGTTACTCAGTTATTAAATGACTACAGTTATGACTTCATTACTTTTACTTTTATCTCTGTATGTAGTCAACAAATGTATTCACACATTTTTGGAGAATAAAAAATATGATGCATTCTCTAGAGAATGTAAAATAGCTAAATTCATGTCATCTTCCATCCAAAGATAAGAAATTTTTGGATATTTTGAAATCTCAGGAGGATTTAAATATGTGGCTATCATTTGTGCATATCTAACAATTTCTAGTCTCTCTATTTAAAACCAGTGTAGCCTCTTCCTCATCGGCATCATTGTTTGTTTCAAGCAGTACTGTCCTCCTATGTTTTTGGATAGTCTCACCTCACCCTTAACAGCAAGCAGTACGTCTGTCACCACCACCAGCCCCCATGAAAGCAGTACTCATGTTAGTTCATCCAGCAGCAGGAGTGAGACAGGGGTCATAACCAGCAGTGGAAGTAGCATTCCTGACATCATCTCATTGGACTAAAGAAGGACGCACTTGATTCTGGGAATCATTTCATCAGAACTACTTTTTCTTGGATCTCTGATCCATGGAAGTTATTATTTTGGCAATTTGATATTTATTGAAACATCATATGGATTCTTTTGCTTTCTGAGAGATGAACATAGATGACAGCAGCAAGAACCAAATGACAGGCAAGGACTTCTTACACATACTGTACACTGATCAGCAGATACTTTCAGCCATAAACAGTGTCTTGAGCAGTGGATTTCAATTTCATATGTTACTGGATGGATTTTACAAATCATTTAAAAATTTTTGTTATATAATAAACAGCAATAAAAATTATGTAAATATTTGAACTTTCTAATTCAAAAAAGATGTAATCATTGATGCTAGAATGATGCAACTTCTATTTAACTCAATGTGAAGGAAAAAATATATGGAAAGAAGTCGTGTTTGCTGAATGAATCCTTTCCACAGAGATTTGTTCTATTTTATTGAAGTATTGAAATTTTGATAAATGGCCAGAGTTGGGTTCCACTTGCAGTTCCACTTTTCTTCATGATCCCATCAAAGAAAAATGGCCTCTGTGTTGTGCATTTCCTCTCGGTTGTCATTTATACCTTGACACTGTTTGCTAATGAATGCAGAGTGAAGCTCTGGGCTTTGGCTGCTCTTTATTAGTGATGATGTTTAAGAACTCTATGCAGATTCTGCCCTGACATATTTTTTGGTAACTGTACATTCTCATTCTAGAGTTTTCTATAAATGTGAGGCTTGCCTTCTTAGGAAAGAAATTGTCTCCAGCCTTTCAGGTAAGGTACAGTTGGAAAGTTTGTTAGATTTTTCTTCATGATGTCCAGAAATATTGATACTTTGAGAGCAGCAGTAGAGAAGATTTATGGGAGATGGTAATAACAAATTTACTTCCCGAGAACTTAATTTGCTCATTTACTTTATAGGATAATATACAAATCTTTGTTGAAACTTTTCACATTTTAGAGACGCTGACATAGAAATTATATTTTACATTTCGCATCATATTGCTCACCAGTGTATTTTCTGTCTCAGCATTGATTTTCAAATTTAAGGAAAAAATAGCAAGGCATGGGGAATAGCATCAGATTTTTTTTTACCTTTTAAAAAGAGAATATTTTCTGAAACCACAAAATGAGAAATGGTTGAAGTAAGGAAGGGTTGGGGAGGGACCTGAAGCCCACCTACTTTGTGTCTCACTCCACCCTTTGCTGAAACACTCCTTTCTCATGCCTTTACTGGGGCAACTTGAAAACCACTTTCCTGGTGGGTAATTTTAAATTGCTCAAAAATGAGTTTTACTTGAAGGGAGACATTTTCATCCAGGTTTTGTAGTTTGCTTCATTTGGCTTCTTAAATCATTTTGAGTTCTCAAGGATTTAGGACTTTGCTGATGTTTAGCTTTCTCTCCCTAAGCTGTATCTACTTTAAAACAAAATCATTCGGGCCGGGGATTTAGCTCAGTGGTTCCGCTCCTGCCTTGCAAGCGCAAGGACCCGAGTTCGATCCCTGGTACCAAAAAAGAAAACAAAAATCATTCTTTTCATGGCTAATCAAACTGATTTCTCTGGCAGATGTGCCCATGTGAGGCCTCTACACTTCCGGTTTTAACAGAAACACATTACTTCAAAATAGGTACAACTTCAGGGAGCTGACTTCTTGTCCTTGCTTGATTTTTTGCATCTCCTCAAGTTTTCATGTCATTTGTACACTCTTTGTGCTGATTTAATTTATAGTTTTTCACACTTCTTTGGCTTCATCATCCCCCAATTTACTATAGTGCCCCTTTGGTAGCACCACCTATTAAAGATGTGGAAACACAAAACCAACCTTGACTCTTCCAGCAGTAGTTGAACCAGAGTCACCAATTTTAACTTCTTTGTCATTAGATTTGAGTCCAGGTTAGAGTCAAACAGACATAAAATTTCTTCTACTAGAATTTTATGTTGCTGCTCTAAGTATACATGTAGTTTGTTAACTCTGTTATCAGAAAAAGTAACCTTATTTGTGTGGTATCATTTGTTAATAAAGTATATTTCTTAACATTTTGTTATACTTTTGATTCTCATACTTTTGATTCTCCCCCAATTTCATAAACCAAGTTTTATAAAATAAATGAGATTAATAGAAATTATTTACTTATTTCTTACAACTGATAGCCTCTTTGCTTTTGTAGTTGTGATACGTTGTTACTATTTTATGTGAATAGTTTTAATATTTTTGGTGCTGTACACTTAAGTTACATATGAAAGTTTAGTTTCTCTTAGCCGACTAACACTTAAACTTTTCAGTTTTTATCTTAAAGTTGGGGCTTATCTTTGGTATGTGTCTTTGAAGATGAGTCCTTTTTCTTTATGCCTTGGCCCTATGGCAGCATTATGGTTTTTAAGCCAGCAGCCTTTAATTAATATGGTTGCTGTAATTATTAGCACAAAGATTTTAATTTTTTAGCAGTGTATTTTGCTAGTACACATTTCTGCTTACCCAAGTACAATAGAATAAAGTCATCTTAACTGTTACTTAGATGTCAACCAGCAAGAAACCAGTTGTTACTTTTATAGTCACTTAGACAACTGTATTTTTATCTTCATTCATGTAGAGCTATGAAGGGCTTTTGTTTGGTAACTCCTGGCAATGTAATTGGTGCTGAATATACCTTCATTCATGAGGTCTGCTTATACTCACTAGCTTTCTCACCCCTGAATGAACAACTTCAGGATTTAATTTTCATTTCTGCTGAGAAATTATAAGTACTTGACATTTACCCTAAGATAATTTTAAAGGTCCAATGAAATAGTTGAAGTGAATCCAGGTTATGTAAGATGTTGGATTATAGGTGAAGTGGTGTGGAACAGAAATTATTTTGATTTTTGATATGCCCTCAGGCCAGTCCTGGATACTCCGTTTGGTAACTATCCCATATGTCTTTTTCTTCTGCCAATAAAGTATTAGTTACATTTGTATTTTAAGTAACGTTAGTTTTATGAAGCATTGATTTAGTTCTCAGCCCTTTCTCTTTAATCTTCAGTTAAGGGAAAAAAATTTTGTTTGCCTGTACCTTGTTCTCCATTTCTATGGAATGTCATAAGAAATTGTTTCCCAGCTCTTTAAATACCCCATTTTATAAAGCTTGAGTCTGATGTTGGTTTTAGTGGCACTGATCCATATGTTGTGGAAGTTTGAAATTGTCATTTTGATGGATGATTGATGGTTCAACTGGACACAGCATCTTTTCTGCTACAGTGCTACATGCATTGGTGAAGTTTGTGAAAAGGATTTAAGAATTTCTCTGCTTGTTAAGAGTCTGACCCTACCAAATAAACAAGTGGTTTGTATCCTTGTCTTCTTTTTGGTTAGGTACCACACTACAATTGCTAGAAAAAACAAATATAGGCATATAAAAATATTCACCCCCTCCTTTAATACTTGCCTAGTTGGATATGTTTTTGTTTTTTCTGTTTATATCAACAGGACATGCTCATTGTGGAAATTTTAAATAATACAGAAAAGTATAAAGAAAAATAACAATTTTTATCACCGAGTGAAAAGAGCCTCACTTGGTATTTTTGCATATTTCTTGCCAAACTCTCTGCTATTTGTGCGTATTTTTTCATAGATTTATTCAATCTCAGCATACTTTGTACCTTGGATTTCCCCTCAGTCTACAGCATTGTTCCATTTTGTTAAAAACTGTGTCAGCCATTACTAATTACATAATATTCCATTGTATGGATGTGCCATGATGATTCATATACTCTGTCCCATTGGATGTTTTAGATTTAATCTCATAGTGTTACAGTGACTGCATAAATTATTTTCCTTAGGATGAATTCCTAAAGAAATGATTTCTGGGTCAAGGCTATAGTTATGGTCTTTTATGGCCCCACCTGATGGTATGAGAAAAGGCTGTCTAGCTATGTTTTTTAAGAACACTTAAGATTTACCTTTATGTAGGCAACTGTACTAAGGTCTTCTGCCCTTATGATACTAGTAAACTGGGCTGAAGAGATAATTAGCAAGCATCTTCCTAGGCTTTCTCATTTAAATATACTGTTGTCCCTCATCTGTAGGGGATTAGTTCTAGGTCTGGCTCCAATACCAAAATCCACAGGTGCTCAAGTCTCTTTTATAAAGTGAGATGGTATTTGTATATAACTACACAATCCTCCCACATACTTTAAAGCATTTAGATTATTAATAATACTTAATACAATGTAAATGTTTGTAAATAGTTGTTATACTACAGTATTTAGGGAATAATAACAAAAAGAAAAAGTCTCCATGCTCAATACACATGGAATTTTTTCCTGAATATTTTCAGTCTGCAGTTGGTTGGATCTACAGATGCAGAGCCCCTGGCTATAGAGGGTTGGACTGTATTTACTGACAAGTTCCAGAAGTGTTTACATATGGATAGCCAACTGATTTTGCTTGCACTGTGAAGTAAATATTCCTTGTCAGATTACATTTTGGGAGTTTTGATTTTGATTTTATTCTTTTTTACCATTTGTGCCTAGGGCCAGCCCTTAGTAGCCAGCTCTCTTTTTCCTCTCATAGGCTCCATTTTGGCCTTTCTGAGCTTCCTAAAGCCAGTAGGATCTGCTGAGGCAAAGGCAGTCCATCTCAAACTGGAAAAGTGGTAAGGCTAAAATACCAACAGGATCCAGTTCTGCCTGTTTCACTTTGCATTATTTTATGTTGCCAATTAGATCTTAACTCTTAGTTTTCTAAGAACACCATGGGGAAAGAAAACATTTCTATATATAGAAGTTTCAGGAGTAGCATTTTTTTAATTGGCATAGTACATTTCATTACTTTCCAAACTGGTTTTTGTTTCTGAATGGCTTTTAAAGCTTAATTTATTTTATATTCTTGATGTTTAACTCTTAAGTAAAGAGTATCGTAAAATAAATATTCCTCTTTCTTTGGATGTTATCAGACTGTTTAACAAATGTTTAGTGTACAGTGGTACCTCATTTTACAAACTTAATTTGTTTTATCATTTTGGGAAAGATGGCCGTGTTTGTGTCTGTGCAGGGAAGATGGCTGTGATCATGTTTGTTACCTAATGTGAAGTTTGCAAATGGAAGCAAAATTTTGCTGAACACTTTTGTGAAGCATTGGTGAACCGAGGTATTACTGTATTTCTAAGTATGTGGGTTGAAGTAGTTACAAAAGGTATAGTCTCAGGCTTCAAAGAGCTTATAATGCAGTTTTAAAAAATCAGGAATACTTATTAACAGGCATTCTGCTAAGAACTTCATGAAGATGTTTCATTCCTTGCACCATCCTTTCAAAGGAAAGTAGTATCTCCATTTTACAAATGAAAATGTGTGGTGCATAGTAGATCCGCAGTGAATGGCTTAGTGGGCTTGGGAGTCTGACCCAGACTTACCTCGGAAGCGTTGTGACTAAATTGAAGTGACATTGCTATGGTGTTCAGGAGACTGGTATGAAAATCTAGGTAAAATTAGGAGAATGAGTTTCAGACCATAGCCATAGTAATTATTAGGAAAGGTGGATGCCAGAGCCCTTTCTGAGGAAAATTGAAGACTGAGGCAAGAGGATTGCCAAGAGTTTGAGGCCAGCCTGGACTGCATAGGGAGACCTTGTCTCAAAAAAACAAATTCAGTGGCTGAACAAAGGTAGGAGTAAGGGCTGTGTCAATCCTCAAACCCAGGGCTGTTATTCTTCTATACTGTTGTAATTTGGAGGAAGACAGTGCTATTTACAGAGACAAGAGGCAGTGTGATTAGTCATGTAGGGGAAACCAGTTTAAGCGGGGGTTATCAGGAAGCTTCTGTGAGTCTCATTGGTTTTCCTGCAGTCTTAAGTGCAACTCCTTTGTCATCCCTTTTCACCTTCACCTCTATGCTGTGCATGTTCTGGTCACTCAGTCACTCATTCACTGTGTCCTAAACCATCTTGTTCACATCTCACCCTTTTTTTACTCTTCACTGCTTTGCCTTTGCAGATTTACCTGTCAACTTACCATTACCGGCAGCTCTCACTAGTGTGGGCTCTATTACAGTCTATATTTTTCAAGAGGTGATAGGTGCTGCCCTTTCTCCCTGATGGAGTGCTTCTGTCAAAAACCTCTGCTTCTGGAGGAAAGCAATATCATGAAGGGCTTGTAAAACAGCATTGGAGGGTTTTTCTGATCATTAATAGTAATGAATATTCATTGTAGAGTTTGGTATGATTATCTCCACTGTATAGTTGTACAAACAGATTGAGAGGGTAAGTACACCTGCACTTGCCTAAGGTCATCCAGCTAAGTGGGGAGTTAGACTTCAAATCAAATTTTTAACCACCTCAGGCCTTTACTGACCGTTGTATTTCTTTGTTGTTTTGGGTGCTGAGTACAGAACCCAGGACTTCACACATGCCAACCGTGGGCTCTGCCATATCCCCTGCTCCTGTTCATTCTGTTTTCAAAACGGGTGTTTCCTACCTTATATCACTGTTTATATCCCGTATGGCACTTATTACAACCTACAGCAATTTTATGTATTGGTTCACTGTGTTGTCTCTACTAGATTGTAAGCTCCATGAGAGCAGGAGTGGTATCTTGCATTCCAGAGCATAACATGGTATGTGGTGCGTAAGTAGATGCTCAATAAATATTTGTGAATGAAGAAATGATGGATAACTATTTTCATTTGACTTGTGTTGATTGTGAAAATTTAATAACCTGAGTAGCAGGCATCACCAAGAGAAAAACAGGAGGTAATGTTTATAGTAGGTGGTAGAGGTGGTAGATGTTAGGGAGTTGGGAGGAAGTCGGCACACTGACCGTGTAGACTGCAACAACCTAATAGAACAAGAGCTGTTAATGAGGGACAGGTAGGGCAGTGCACAATGGAGAAAATAATTACTGTACAAGTAGATCTTATGTGAAGCTGAGAATATAGTGACACGTAGACCTAACATACTGTGTACATATAAGGCTAGGGAAATGCTTCATGTAGTCTTTAGATTATGTGATGACCTCATCTGCGCCAGTCACACCACATTTAATTATACAATATAACTGTAGGTGTAAATACAGTTTATTTTTAGTCTCCTGAGGCTAGCAACCTGACCAAAATCATTGTTGGACTCCATACTTTAAAACGAGTTAGGGCTGGGGATTTAGCTCAGTGGTTTTGCTGCCTGCTGTGCAAGCGCAAGGACCCGAGTTCGATCCCCAGTACCAAAAACAAAGGTCAGTTAACCTGATGTCCCTGGAAATTATGCCCACATGCTATTTGAAGTGCAGGTGTCACTTAACACCATAAAAAAGAAACCCCATACCCATCACAGTCATTCCAAATCCCCCATCCATCTCACTGCACCCCAGCATTAGGCAACTACTAGTCTGCTTTCTATCTCTGTGTATGTCTATTCTGAACATTGTGTGTATATTGAATCATATAAAGCGTGGTCTTTGTGATCAGCTTTTTTTCCTTTGGCCTGAGGCAGTCAGGACAAATCTTGTAGACCTTTCCATAATAACGAATAGCCCACTCCAGCACATGTTCATAGGTTCGCCACCACTGTGTTCATCCATGCTATAGTATATGTTTCTTACTCTTGTGGCCAAATAATAACATTTTGTGGATATATCATGCTTTGTTTATTCGTCCACTAGTTCATGGACATTTGCGTTATCATATTTTGCCTGTTACAAGTACTGGTCATGTATATGTGATTTTTGGACATATGTTTTTATTTCTTTTAGGTATATACCTAGGAATGGAATTACTGGGTCATGTGGTATCTCCTCTTTAACATTGAGGAACTTCCAGACTTTTCCAGAGTGGCTAAACCAATTAAATTACCACCAGCGTTGTATCAGGTTTCCAGTTTCTTCAGTTCCTCAACAAGCTGAGCACATTGGCATGTATCTCTAATTCCAGCTACTTTTAAGGCTAAGACAGGCCGTCACTAGTTCAAGGCCAGCCTAGACAATTTAGCAAGACTGTCTCAGAATAAAAAATGAAAAGATTGGGGATATAGCTTAATGGTAGGTGCCCCTGGATTCAATCCTGAGTCCCCCCCAAAAAAAAAAATCCTTCCCAACATTTATTATGGCTGTCCTACTGGGTTGGAAATCTTACCTGATAATTGTTTCGGTTTGTATTTCTCTAATGATTAATGGATGCTGACCCATCTTTATATGTGCTTGCTCATTTGCATATTTTCTTCGCAGCAATACTGTTTGAATCTTTTCCCCATGTTTTAATTGGGTTATTTGTCAAAAATTTTTACTTCTGTATTATAAGAGTTCTTAGAAGTCTTCATTAAGATGTATGATTTGGAAGTATTTTCTCCCAGATTATGCCTTGTCTTTTCACTCCCAATATTGTCCCTTGAAGCATACATTTTATTTTATTTTTTTGGTACCGGGGATCAAACTCGGGGACCTTGCGCTTGCGAGGCAGGCAACAGAACCACTGAGCTAAATCCCCGGCCCAGACATTTTAAATTTTGAGAAAATCTCCAGTTTCTTTCTTTCCTTGTGTTGCTTATGCTTTTGATTTCACAGCAGAGTTTATTGCCAAATCCAAAACCGTGAACTTTTACCCTATTTTGTCCAAAACTTTTATAGTTTAACTCATATTTAGGGTTTTGGTCCATTTTGAGTTGATTTTTTAATATGACAGAGTCCACTTTCATTTTTTGCATGTGACTATTCAGTTGTCCATGTATCAGTTGTTGAAAACAATTCTTTCCTTGTTGAATGGTCTTGGTGCCCCATTAAAAATCTGTCATCTATAGACACATGAGTTTATGAACTCTCCATTGATCTGTTTATCCATATTCCAGTACCATACTGCTATGATTACCATTCCTTTGTGACAAGTTTTGAAATTGGAAAGTAACATGATTGTTTTGTGTGTGTGTGTGTGTGTATGTGTATGATTGTTTTGGCTAATTCTGGGGTCCTTGCAATTCCATATGAAGTATAGAATTCGCTTATAAATGACTAGGAAAAAGCCAGCTGGAATTCTAATAAAGATTGAATCTGTAGATCAATTTGGGAAGTGTTACTTTCTTAATGGCTTATGAACATAGTGTGTTTTTCCAATAATTTAGATTTTTTTTCATTTCAACAATGTTTTATAGTTTCACAGTATACATTTATACTGCTTTTGTTCTATGTACTTCTAGACATTTTATTCTTTTTGCTGCTATTGTAAGTGGAATTGTATTTTAGATTACTGATTGCAAGTAAGAAAATACAACTGATTTTTAAAAAACAGTCTTTGTTCTTTGAGTTATCTCCATACTGATTTCCACAGTGGTTGCACCAGTCTGCACTCCCACCAACAATGGAGAAGGGTTCCTTTCTCACCACAACCCCGCCAACATTTGTTATTGGTTGATTTCTTGATAGCAGCCATTTTTTTCTGTGATGAGGTGCAATCTCAGTGTTGTTTTCATCTGCATCTCTCGAATGACCAGTGATGTTGAACATTTTTTCATATGTTTATTTGCTGCTTTTACTTCTTTGAGAAATGTCTGTTCATTTCAGATGCCTATCTTTGAATTGGGTCTTTAAATTTGGAGGGTCTGATTTTTTAAAGTTCTTTATATATTCTTGATAGTAATCCTTTCAGGTACAGCTGCTAAAACTTTTTTCCCACATTGTAGGTTGTCTCTTAGCTCTGTTGATGGTTTCTCTTGCAGTGCAGAAGCTTTTTAATAAGATGAGATCCCAGTTGTTGATTCTTTGTGCTAGTTTCCGTGCTACTGAGGTTTTGTTCATAAAGTCTTTTCCTATGCCAGTGCTCCCATTTGACCCAGCTATTCCCCTGCTGGTTATCTTCCCAAAAGAATTAAAAGAATCATACCACAGTGATATATGTACACCCATGTTCAGAGTGGGACAGTTTGTAATAGCTAAAGCTTGGAAACAGCCCAGGTGCCCATCAACTGGAAACTGGATAAAGAAGATGTGGTTTTTTACAAAATGGAGTACTACTCAGCCATAAAGATCGAGAAACTATAGAGACATTTATAGCTAAATGGATGCATATTGAAGCCATACTCTTTAAGTGAAATAAACAGGACATACGTGGAAATACCAAGTAGTTTCTCTGGTGTGAGAAACTGAAACTGTAAATAAGGATTAAAATAATTAAAATGAATAATTGATAATTTGAAATAGGAAGAAAAGGTCCAAAGGGGTAGGGGCAAAAGAAGGGAAAGGAAAAATTATGAGAAAAGGAAAAAATGGAAACAAAGTCTTTGTAAATAGGGAAGGATGGAGGAGGTGAAGGGAGGACAGGTAATGGGGAAAAAAATAACGAAGATACATCATGTACAGGTACGAGCACCCAATGACAAATGTAAATGTTACTGTAAACCTAAAATGTACCAATAAAGAATTTAAGGAAAAAAGACCAGACTTTGTTTTGAAGAGTATTTTAGGTTCATACCCACATTGAGCAGAAAGTACAGGAAATTCCCACATGTTCCCTTAACCCAAAAGCCCCTCCCACCATCACTGTACTACACCAGTGTGGAATACTTGTTACAATTAATGAATATTTGTTACAGCATTGACACATCATTATCAACTAAAGCTTGTAATTTATATTAGGGTTCACTCGATATAAATTCTATGGGTTTTGAAAAATATGTAATGACATAAATACACCATTATTATGTCAAAACACAATAGTGTTGCTGCCCTGAGAATCCACTATGTTCTTTTCATTCTTGTCATTGCCCCAATTCTTGAAAATCTCTGATCTTTTTAACACCTTCACAGTTTTCCCTTTTCCAGAATGCCATAAAATTGAATCATACAGTGTGTAGCTTTTTCAGAATGGCTTCTTTCACTTTGGATTTGCATATAAGTTTCCTCTAACATATGGAAATAGTATTTTGAACTCTTCAAAGGGGCTGTGTAGCATTTTGTGTTCCCGTCACCAGTGAATGAGAGCTTCTGTTACTCCACATCCTCACCACCATTTGGTGTTGAGGTTTTAAATTTTGGCTATCCTAGTAAGTGTGATGGTGTCTTGGTATTTGATTTGCAATTCTAAGACATTCTCATACGCTTATTTTTCAGCTGTACTGTGGATTCAAGTTACAACCAGCCTGACATATGAACAACTTAGGTTAATTAGGTTAATGGATGATTAGTCTGCCTCTTGTTATCTATAGCGTATACCCAGGTAAACATCCAGATCTCAGCTGTATTGACTTACAACCAACTTGAGTTACAGCCAGCCCTTGAGAGCTGATCAACTTCGTAAGTCATGGGTCCACTGTGTATCTTTTCTGAGGTGTTCGTGTCTTTTGCCCATTTTTAAATTAGGTTATTTTCTTACTGAGTTTTAATAGTTCTTGGTATTTTTTTTATAGCAGTCCTTTGTCAACTATGTATTTAGCAAGTATTTTTTTCCAGTCTAACTTATATTCATGTGGCAGTGCAGAAATTTTCATGAAATCCACCATATCAGTTCTTTCTTCTATAGATTGTATCTTTCATGTTCTTACAAAAGGCATTTACCTTACCAAAGGTCATTTTGATTTTCACCTATCTTTTTGTACTTTACGTTTTGATCTGTGTTCCATTTTAATTTTTGTGAAAGGTGTGTGATCTGTGGGTGGGTGGATGGATGGATTTATTTGCATGTGGGTGT